ATACTAGGGAGATATATACTAGAGAGCAGGAAATCTCAGAGACAGTGGTCCCCAACCTTTTTGGCACCATGGACCAGTGTAGTGGAAGACAATTTTTCCACGGACCAGGGGAGGGGTTAATGGTTTTGGGATGATTCAAATGCATTACATTTATTGTGAGCTTTACTTATTTTATTATTGCATTGTAATATATAATAATTATACAACTCACCATAATATAGAATCATTGGGAGCCCTGAGCTTGTTTTCCTGCAACTAGATAATCCCATCTGGAGGTGATGGGAGACAGTGACAGATCATCAGGCATTAGATTCTCATAAGGAGCATGCCACCTAGCATGTGCCATTCACAATAGGGTTCATGCTCCTATGAGAATCTAATGCCACCACTGATCTGACAAGAGGCAGAGCTCAGGTAATAATGTGAGTGATGGAGAGTGGCTGTAAATACAGATGAAGCTTCATTTGCTCACCCACCACTCACCTCCTGCTATGTAGCCTGGTTCCAAACAGGCCATGACTGGTACCAGTCTGTGGCCTGGGGGTTGGGGACCCCGATCTAAAACTTCTACCTACCACACAAATGCTGTAATAAAAAGACCCAAAATATCATGGCTTAAACATGATAGGTTTTTTCTCTCATATAACCATCCAAATATAAATACTCTGAGGCTACCATGGTAGCCTTTAGTTGTTCTGCCTTCTCGAAGGAAGTAGTTCTCATCTTTAAGGTCCAAAGTAATTTACCACCATGTGCCGGGTCCCATCCCAACTAGTGAGATGGAGGGAAAAGGAAAGGAGAAGGCATACCCTTTCTTTTAAGGGCACAGCCTGGCAACTGCATACATCAATCACATGACCAAACCTAGCTGTAAGGAAAGCTACAAAATCTAATCTTTATTTTCAGTGGTCATATGCCAAAAGAAAATTTAGAGGTTCTTTTCGTAAAGAAAGAGGGAGACAGTGGATACTAGGGGACCACTAGTGGCTTACACAACTAGTTGAACAGTAGAAGAGTGAACACTTCTTCAAGATGCTCTCAAGGCTTACTCTTTCATTTTAATTCTCTGCTCAAATGTCACCTTATTAGTGAGTTCTTCCCTAACTGCCCAACAGAAAATAGCAACTCTCTCCCCAACATTCTTATCCTCTTTATCTGCATTACTTCTCTCCATAGCACTTATTACCATTTCATATAAACACTTATTTATTTCCTATTTCCCCTAACTAGAAACATAAGCTCCATGGTAGCAGAGATTCTGATTGCTGCCTACTCTATCCCCAGCTCCTATACTAGGCACCATGAGTACGTGATCAGAAAATATTCGTGGAAAAAAATACATGAATGTATAACAATCTTCATTTGTGAGTAAGAAGATAGGCTCTGGAATCAGACTGCCTGGATTGAAATCCTAACTTCATCACTTAGTAGTCATGGGATATTTTACCTCAGTTTCACTTTTTGAAAATGAAGATAATAATGTCTACCTTATAGTATTGTTGTGAGGATTAAGTGAATTAATGCACACAAAATGCTTTAGAATAGAGCCTGGTAAGTAGTTGACATTTGATATAATTGTTAAGTGTTTGATTGTTATTCATTTTGACATAACCGTGAACAAGACAAAGGATTCAGTGAGGGCATGAATAAAGAGCATGGACAATTCTTTCATAAAAGGGCAAGGAGGAGTACCTGAGTCACAATAGGCCTGAAACAAGAAAAAGGTGGGTGCAGTGGCTCATTCCTGTAATCCCAAAACTTTGGGAGACTGAGGTAGAAGGATCACTTGAGCCCAGGAGGTTAAAGCTGCAGTGAGCCGTGATCACACCACTGCACTCCAGCCTGAGCGACAGAGCAAGACCCTGTCTCAAAAAACAAAAACAACAACAACAAAACAAAATCAAAGCTCTTCAGACAAAGACAGAAAGGATTTCTGTTCCGTAAGCTCTGCTGAACCCTCAACACTGCCTAAAACTCTGTTTCTTTTGTCAGTTCACTCCTCCATTCTGGGCAATGAGTATTTCAAACCTCTTGTACTCTCTCATCTTCCATTTCCTTCTGCTTTATTCTCAGATGATGACTTTATCTTCTATTTGAAAAAAGGAGATGCTGTATTATCAATCAGCATTCTCCAGAGAAGCAGAATCAATAATATGCATTCATATAAAGAGATATATTTTAAGAAATTGGCTAACACATGTGTGGGGGCTGGTAAGTGTCCAAAATCTGTAGGGCAGGCTGGCATGATAGAAACTCATGCAGAAGTTAATGATGCAGCCTTATTGTTTCCTCTTAATTTTTTTAAATTTTTACTTTTTTAGAGACAAAACCTCACTCTGTTGCCCAGGCTGGAGTGCAGATCATAGCTCAGTGAAACGTTGAACTCCTGAACTCAAGCAATCTTTCCATCTTGGTCTCCCAAAGCATTCGGATTACAAGTGTGAACCACTGCACCTGGCCTGATGCTGGAGTCTTGAGGCAGAATTTCTTCTTCTCTGGGAAACCTCAGTTTTACTCTGAAGGCTTTCAACTGACCCACATTATCCAGAGTAATCTCCTTTATTTAAAGTCAACTAAGTGTAGATGTTAGCCATACCTATAAAAATGCCTTCACAGTAACACCCAAATTAGTGTTTGATTAAATAACTGGGTACTATAGCCTAGCCAAGTTGACACACAAAACTAACCATCACATGCTATTTAAAAGGAATTCTCAGGGCCGGGTGTGGTGGCTCACACCTGTAATCCCAGCACTTTGGGAGGCTGAGGCAGGCGGATCATGAAGTCAGGAGATTGAGACCATCCTGGCTAACACAGTGAAACCCCATCTCTACTAAAAATACAAAAAATTAGCCGGGCATGGTGGCCGGTGCCTGTAGTTCTAGCTACTCAGGAGGCTGAGGCAGGAGAATGGTGTGAACCTGGGAGGCGGAGCTTGCAGTGAGCAGAGATGGCGCCACTGCGCTCCAGCCTGGGCGACAGAGTGAGATTCTGTCTTAAAATAAAATAAAATAAAATAAAATAAAATAAAATAAAATAAAATAAGATAAAATAAAATAAATAAAATAAAAGGAATTCTCGCAATCTCCAAATGCCAAATTTTAAAAACATTTAGATCTGCTCTTATCCATTCCTCCCTCCTTCCTGTTACCAATTAGAGATGCTCTTTCTCTCTCTAAAGGCAAGTTCTATACATTTGTTCTGGGACTATTCTTTCTTGCTTCCTTTCACTCAACAAATATTTACTAAGTGTCAACTGCATCAGGCACTGTTTTCAGTGTTTGGTTGTATCAGTGTACAAAACAATGTTCAGTTATATCAGTGTACAAAACAGAAACAGTGACAAAAATTCCTGAGTTACAGAGCTTACATTCTAGTGGGAGAGAGAGATAATAAAGAATAAAATGATACTTTGGAAGGCTGAGGCAGGCAGATCACAAGGTCAGGAGATTGAGACCATTCTGGCTAACACGGTGAAACCTCATCTCTGCTAAAAATACAAAAAACTAGCTGGGTGTGGTGATGGGTGCCTGTAGTCCCAGCTACTTGGGAGGCTAAGGCAGGAGAATCGCTTGAACCTGGGAGATGGAGGTTGTAGTGAGCCGAGATCAAGCCACTGTACTCCAGTCTGGGCAACAGAGCGAGACTTCATCTCAAAAAAAAAAAAAAAAAAAAGAATAAAATGAATAAACTTACATAGCATGTGAGAAGTGATATATGCTATGGAAAAAAACAAAGCAAAGGGAATCAGGAATGTCTAAGGAGAGTATGGGCTACCATTTAAATAGGATAATCAGAGTAAGCCTTAAAAAAAAGGTGACATCTGAGCAAAGACTTGAAGGAAAGGAGGACAGACCTTCTCCCTGTCTTTTGTCTGGTTTGTTTTATTATTTTGAGACAGGGTCTTGCTCTGCCACCCAGGCTGGAGGGCAGTGAGGTGACCACGGCTCACTGTAGCCTCAAATCTCCCGAGGTCAAACAACCCTCACACCTCAGTCTCCTAAGCAGCTGGGACTAGAGGCATGTGCCACCATGCCCAGTATATTTTGGGTTTTGTAATTTTTTTTTTTTTTTTTTTGTAGATATGGGGTCTCACTATGTTCCCCAGGCTGCTCTCAAACTCCTGGGCTCAAGCAATCCTCCCGCCTTGGCCTCCCAAAGTGCTGGGATTATAGGTGTGAGTCACCATGACAGGCCTGTCTGGTTAATTTTAATTCATCCTTTGGGTTTCAGCTTCAAAATCACTTCCAGTGAAGCTCTCCTTCATCCCTCAAACAGAAAAAGTTTGCACTACTGTATGTTTCCATTACAAGATACATTTCTTCTTTATAACATTCATCACAGTTGCGATTACTGGTCCTATATTAACCTTCACATAACTACGTTAAGTTCCAAGAGAACACGGATTGAATGTTCTTGTTCAGCTCTGTAGCTGCAGGGCTTATGCTAAAATTGGTAAAACCAGTCACTCAAATATCTGTGGAATATGTGAATATATGATGAATGTGGGGCATACCCAGAAAAGGAAAAACAGAATCTCTATTACATGTAACTAAGCTAATTCCTAACTAATCAAAAGGGGTCCAGACTCAAGACAAAAAGCTATTAGGAAGCACTCTGTTGAGCCTGTGTCTCTGTGCTGGAGGCTGGAGGGACTCCTTTTTTAAAAATTAAATTAAAAAAATGTTAAAGTGTAACAACAACAAAAGCTGTTAAGAGACTGCTGCTGTAATCTGTGTAAGAGCTGATAAAATTTTAAGGGGCCAGGCGCAGTGGCTCACACCTGTAATCCCAGCACTTTGGGAAGCCGAGGCAGGTGGATAACCTGAGGTCAGGAGTTTGAGACCAGCCTGACTAACATGGTGAAACCCCATCTCTACTAAAAATACAAAAAGTAGCTGGGTGTGATGATGGGCACCTGTAATCCCAGCTGCTTGGGAGGCTGAGGCAGGAGACTTGCAAGGCGAGGCAGAGGTTGCAGTGAGCTAAGATAGCATCATTGCACACTAGCCTGGGCAGAGCGAGACTCCACCTAAAAAAAAAAAAGAAAGAAGAGCTGATAAAACTTTGGTTAAGGTAATAACAATGAAGATGGAGAGAAGGAAAAGGGTTCAAGAGATATTTAAGCAGAACTATAGGACTTAGAAATTAGGTGGAAACTATGGAAACTAGAATGGCAGAGTGATTTGCTCCAGATGGGGTCTTTTAGATGTTGACTGATCTGTGACTTTATTAAGTGTAGAAGATACCACCTACTGAGATTTTGGGTGTAAAACATCTTTAAATCATTGACATAACATCAAAGGTTAGATGTGCAGGTTCACTTCTGTCTCTTCTGATAAAAAGCCTTTCTCTTAGTTATATTAATAGTAAATTGAGGTGGGAGGAGATTCAAAGATGTTCATTCAACAAATATTTGTTGAGCACACATTATATGCCAAGCACTGTGATAAGGATACAATGGTGAGCAATACAGTCATGGACTCTGACTTTATGAGGTATATAATGAAACACCGTTAAAAGCACTACACGTCGGCTGCTTGCTTTGCTCCATGCCTCCCCGATGAAGCCCCTGTCATAGCTGCCGCCAAGCCTGCCACCACCACCTCTGAGCAGATGACTGTGCCACCCAAGTATGCCAATCTTGGCAAATCTGCCAGGAATGTCTTCACCAAGGGCTATGGATATGGCCTAATAAAACTTGATTTGAAAACAAAATCTGAGAATGCATTGGAATTTGTAAGCTTAGGCTCAACCAACACTGAAATTCACCAAAGTGACAGGCAGTCTGGAGACCAAGTACAGATGGACTGAATATGGCCTGATGTTTATGAAGTGAAACACACAACACTAGGACTGAGATTACTGTGGAAGATCATCTTGCAAGTAGACTGAAGCTGACCCTCGATTCATCCTTATCACCTAACACTGGGGGAAAATGCTAACATCAACACCAGGTACAAGCAGGAGCACATCAACCTGGACTGTAACCTGGATTTTGACATCACTCGGCCTTCAATCTGGGGCGCTCTGGTGCTGGGTTACAAGGGTGGCTGGCTAGCTACCAGATAAATTTTGAGGCTGCAAAATCCTGAGTGACCCAGAGCAACTTTGCAGTTGGCTACAAGTCTGATGAACTCCAACTTCACACTAATGTGAAAATGGGACAGTTTGGTGGCTCCATTTACCAGAAGGTAAATAACAAGTTGGAGATCACTGTCAATTTTACCTGGACAGCAGGAAACAGTAACACTGATACAGTTTGTCTGTGTCCCCACCCAAATCTAATCTTGAATTATGGTTCCCATAATTCCCATGTGTTGTGGGAGGGACCTGGTGGGAGATAACTGAATCATGGGGGCAGTTTCCCCATACCGTTCTCATGGTAGTGAATGTCTCACGAGATCTGATGGTTTTATAAGGGGAAACTCCTCTCACTTGGCTCTCATTTTCTCTCCTGCCTACCACCATGTAAGATGTGACTTTCACCTTCCACCACAATGGTGAGGCCTCTCCAGCCACGTGGAACTGTGAGTCCATTAAATCTTTTTCTTTATAAAATACCCATTCTCAGGTATATCTTTACCAGCAGTGTGAAAACGGACTAATACAAACACTCACTTTGGAATACCCAAGTATCTGATCAACCCTGACACCTCCTTCTTGGCTAAGTGAACAACTCTCGCCTAATAGGTTTAGAATACACTGAGACCCTAAAGCTAGGTATCAATATGACACTGTCAGCTGTCCTGAATGGCAAGAATAACAATGCCGGTGGTTACACACTAGGTCTGGAACTGAAATTTCGAGCATAAATACTGTACAATTATTTATTTTTACATTATTTTGCAGCAGAGCTACCTTTAGAATTTAGTGTATCTTTTACTGTATGCTTGGGATGCAAGCATTGCTAAATGTTAGACTTCCAGGCTAAGTATGTTAGATTTCCAGGCTAAAGATAATTCAGTTTTAAAATGTTACCCTTTTAGAGATAGAGAAGAAACTCAATTCCAAAAAACGTCCTTTCAGCTATAGACTTGGAGAGGCAACTTGGTGGCCCCTCTTCAGAAGCCAGTTTTCTTTTTTATCTAGAAATGACTGTACGTGGAAGTTGGTAATATGTAGGCATTTTGTAAATTCATATTGAGTAAATGAATGAAATTGTGACTTCCTGAGAATTGAACCTTGGTTTCCTAACCCTAATTAATGATAGGCTTGTTGCTTGATGGTGCAAACTCACTTGAAAGAGATTCTTTTAGACAGATCTTCGTGATCTTTCCACCCCAGTTAATCATCACCTCTTTTACACCAAAATGTCTGCAGGGTGTGGTAACTGTTTGTTTTGTGCCATTCTGGGGTAAAGAGGGTAGATGTGATGAAGCCAATAATTCAGGATTTAATTCCTTCTCATGCCGTGGTTTTGTGCCCTTCCACCAGAATATGAAATAGCTTCCAGGAGTTCCAGATATAAGCTTGGAAGAATCACATGGTGATAACACTCAGAATCTAAATTGGACTTCTGTTGTATTCTCACCACTCAATTTATTTTTTAGCAGTTTAATGGGTGTATTTTAGAGTCTTCCATTTTGTGTGAATTTAGATCCTCCCCTTCAAATGCTGTAATTAACATCATTCAAAGTAAAATTTGAAAAATATATTGAAAACAGTGTGATATACCGAAAGCATGAGCAATTATGGGAGCTGGAGTCTGGGGAAGAGTTATCTGAGGAAATAGTAACTAGGATCTCAAGAATGAGTAGATAAAGGCAGAAAGCATTGTAAGCCAGGAAACAGCACATACAAAGGCCTTGAGATGAAACAGCATATGACAATTTAGAGGAAGCGAAAGAAGGCCAGTGTGGCTACAGCACAGAAGGAAAGAGTGAAGTGTGATTTGAATAAATTCAGCAAATAGTATTGACAGTCCATTGTTACTGATAAGATAAAGCTGGAAGTAGACAGAGGCTGGATCATGCAGGCCTTTGTAGGTCATATTTAGAATCTCAGTTTTTATCCTAAGAATGGGAAGCTATTACAAAGATTAAGCATTAGTTTTTATTTTATGGCTTGAGTGAAGAAAAGATTGAAGGGATACAAAGTGTGTACTGGAAGCGCAGCAACTGCAGTAATCCTGGTGGGAGATTACGGTGAGGGTGGAGAGAGGTAGTGAGAATCCAGGGATATTTAGAAATGTAAACTCGTAAGATTTGGCAATTGAGTGATAGGAGAAAAAGGGAAATGCCTTCTATCTTCTCCAACTGGATGAGTACCAGGCATAGGATAGTTTATTAGGAAACATGTTGAATTTGGGATGTTTTTGAGATACTTAAGTGGAGATGTCAAACAGCTTGGAGGAGATCTGGAAGTTACCAGTAACTGAAGTTCAGAGTGGGGAAGAAACTGTCCTAGGAAAATTAGACTGAGAAGAACAGGACCTAGAAAAACTTTTAGATTTAAAGGCTGGGAGGAGGATGAGCCTGCAAAGGAGGCTAAGCAGCTGTGGTCAAAGAGGTAGTAGTAAAACCATGACAGTACAGTAAGACACCAGTGGAAGCGTATCAATGATAAGAAACTAGAAAATTATACCAAATGCTACTGAAAAGTGAGGTAGTGAGGACTGGGAAATAACCACTGGATTCACCGACAGGAAGTTGATCACCAAGGTGACCTTGGTAAGAACCATTTCAATAGAATGAGGGTTGTAGAAGTCAAAATGGACTGGGTTGAGGAATGCAAATGGAAAATGACTCGTAATATGGAGAGGCCCAAACTATCTGTTTTGAGAAGTTTAACTGTAAAGTAGAAAAGATGGAAGCGTAACTGGAGGGGAAATGAGATATGAAGTGGTTTATTAACAGGGGAGTCTTTAGCATGTTTAAACACTGATGAGAAGAATTCAGTAAAGTGGAAGTCAAAGATCCTCCAAGAGGGAAGGACTAAGATTCTGAGAACAGGAATAAGCACTGGCCTTAGACAGAGGTATGCTTGCCTTGTTTAGACAAGAGAAACAATGATGCATATGTGTGGGTAAATAAGTTGGAGGATGTTGAGAGAATTACCGATACCTTCTACTTTTGTCTATGAGGTAAGAAACAGTTACTTGCATAAAGTGAAGATAATGGTGCGGGGGAGTGACAAGAGAGTTAAGAATGTTGGTTTGAGATAGTTATTGCAGGGAAAAGTTAAAATGACTAGAAAAATCTAGGACTATGGGGCTGAGACTACATTTGAAGCTGATAACCATGGATTCATAGTGATATAAATTTCTCCACAGTTGTTTCCTTGGGTGGCATTTAGCTGTCCAAATGCAGGCACAGATAAGTTTCACTTTATTTAAGGGTTCAAAAAGAGATGAAAGGCAAGGAAATTCTACCTATTGCACGAAAACCACTAGTTTAAGCTATACAGCAATCTAAAGAAGGAAGGTACTAATGCAAAGTAGAAGCATTGGTTGCAGTGAAATCAGAGAATGATGGAATAGTTCAATAAACCAAGTGGAAGGAATATGGTCAATAAATAAGGTGCAAGTATTTTGAAGATAGAGCAGTTTGTGGTGATGATAATGGCCAAGACATGACAAACGGAGTGAGTGGCCAAGACAGAGTGGAAATCATCAGAGATTGGGCCAAATAACTAAGAGACAAAACACCAAATAAAGTGTCTATGTAAATGTTAAAATATCAAGGAGTGGATAGGAAGACCAAGGGCTAGCTATTTAGAGTAAAGTAGCAGCAGAGTAGTACTAAATGAGAGTGGTAGACAAGTAATGAGAAGGTTGTATGGATGAACAGCCTCAAAAGAATGAGGCTTTGCAAAGGAGTGGGCAGTTCTGAAGTCACAATGGCAAGAACACCAAAGTATCTCCAATGTTTATGTTTATGATAATATGATAAAACTTGTCAACATCTATTCTTTAGTGCTGTGCTTGGAATATCACATTGTTCCCATTATGCCAATGGCTATCACTTTATGGCAAGACCTGAGGACCAGGTTATGGAAGGCAGAGTGGTAGGAATTAAGTTTTTCTCCTGAACATTAAACATTTTTAGAAACAGGAAAAAACCAGGGCAAGAGATTGACATTTTAAGAAAGGGATTAAGAGAGAGGTCAGACTGAGGGACACTTGTTTTTTCATGCCTAGAGGCAGGTTAAGTAAGACAGAAGCTCTCAAAGTTCAAAGAGCAAAGGCTTTAGAGTCAGACAGATCTATGCTCCTAGCTCTTTTTTAGCAATTACTATTATGTGACATGGAAGGACGAGAGCACAGATAATTCACAATGGAAGTTGATTCCAAGGATACACACACATGTTGATGTGGAAGGGTCCTCTCACCAGCAGCACAGTATCACAGGTCCCATCCTCCTGTCTTCTGGAAGTTAAGAAGTTCAAACCTGGCCGGGCGCGGTGGCTCAAGCCTGTAATCCCAGCACTTTGGGAGGCCGAGACGGGCGGATCACGAGGTCAGGAGATCGAGACCATCCTGGCTAACACGGTGAAACCCCGTCTCTACTACAAAATACAAAAAAAAACTAGCCGGGCGAGGTGGCGGGCGCCTGTAGTCCCAGCTACTCGGGAGGCTGAGGCAGGAGAATGGCGTGAACCCGGGAGGCGGAGCTTGCAGTGAGCTGAGATCCGGCCACTGCACTCCAGCCTGGGCGACAGAGCGAGACTCCGTCTCAAAAAAAAAAAAAAAAAAAAAAAAAAAGAAGTTCAAACCTGTTTTACTTGCATTTATATTTCCCAAGGACAGAATGCCACTCAGTGGGTAAGGTCCTGGTCAGCAACTTTTACCTTCCTAACATCTCTGTTCAAGAGATGGCAGCTAAATGGGGCAAAAAACATGATTGGAACCACTTTTCTCAATAAGACAATTTGTATAGGCCGGCAGCAGTGGCTCATGCCTGTAATCCCAGTGCTTTGGGAGGCTGAGGTGGGCGGATCATAAGGTCAGGAGTTCAAGACCAGCCTGACCAATATAGTGAAACCCCATCTCTACTAAAAATACAAAAAAATTAGTGGTGGCGCATGCCTGTAATCCCAGCTACTTGGGAGGCTGAGGCAGGAGAATTGCTTGAACCCAGGTGGCAGAGGTCGCGGTGAGCCTAGATCGCGCCAATGCACTCCAGCCTAGGCAACAGAGCGAGACTGTCTCAAAAAAAAAGAAACTGTGTATAAAAGGGCCTTCTGGCACATTCTGGATTCTTGCTTCCTGATCTGTTAAGTGAGGCTAATACCTCTTACTTATAGTTGTGGTAAAAATTAAGATAAAGCATGACATCTACCAAAATCAGAACCTACACAAAGTGGGTGCTCAATAAATACTATCTTAAGAGGCAGCCTGGTGTGTTAAAATGAACATGGACTTTAAAGTCAGATTTGCACTTTAATACCCTACTTGAGAATTTCAATTTCCTGCTCTGTAGATAGGAAGAACATCTGCTTTGTGGGTAGTTGTAAGAAGTTTTAAAATTATTACTGTGGAAACCAATGTCTAAGAGCTTCAATTCCTCTAAAACAGGAAACAGGGTCACCTGATGAGGGGTATGGGATTAAAGACAGCTGTGAAGGTGTAAAATAACTGCCATGGTAATTAGAGAAGGAAATGGACCAGGAACCCATAAAGGTGCGTGCTGGTGTGAGGACTAGGTCAAGGTTGGAGGCCTTGAATATTTAGTGGCATTCATTACACAACTGTTTTTCTCTAGCAGAAATAGCAAAGACAGAATAAGTGGAATGATACAAAAAGATGGCCAAGGGTGGCAAGAAAATGGGGTGATGGAATGATATGCTATTCAGGCTGCTGAATACAGAAGTAAATTACACAAAGTTGGGGGGCGGGGGAGGCAATAATGAGAAAAGAACGGAGAGGCTGGAATTAGAAATCACAGAATGGGCTGGGCGCGGTGGCTCAAGCCTGTAATCCCAGCACTTTGGGAGGCCGAGGCGGGCGGATCTCGAGGTCAGGAGATCGAGACCGTCCTGGCTAACACGGTGAAACCCCCGTCTCTACTAAAAAATACAAAAAACTAGCTGGGCGAGGTGGCGGGTGCCTGTAGTCCCAGCTACTCGGGAGGCTGAGGCAGGAGAATGGCGGGAACCCGGGAGGCGGAGCTTGCAGTGAGCTGAGATCCGGCCACTGCACTCCAGCCTGGGCGACAGAGTGAGACTCCGTCTCAAAAAAAAAAAAAAAAAAAAAAAAAGAAATCACGGATTGTACTCAATGAGACCAATGTGGGGCAGATGATGGAAAGCTGGAATTAGGAGATTCTAGACAAGCAGTGAAACATTAAGGTAGCATTAAGGAAGTCCCGAAGATTTCGTTTTATCCTTTTTATCATAACCATTGCCATCTACTTCCCCCTTCAGTTTTTCTTCCTCAGATTTGGCTGTATTGCAGAATACGGTCCCCAACTTTCTCCCTTCCCGATTGCCCGTAAGACAAGCACACAGACCTTGGTTCAAAGGTTTTACTTCTCATCCTGAGAAGACTGTACAAACTAAGAAAGTAACAACCTGGGGAAATGGCTGAAGTTCCAAGACTCCAGACTTCTTACAGGTTTCATCTCTCTTCTGTGGCCACTAACTTCTCAAGGAGGCAGTGCCCAAAAGCCCTGTGGTTTTTTGATCCGTTGTACTTCGACAGCTTCTCCTTTCCCTAGATCCAGCAGAATTCTAGACATATAAGACATAGTTCACAAAACAACAGTTATGAACCAACAAATACTTGGTTCACGGTTATAAGCCATTGAAGTCAGTCAGACTTAAGGACAACTAGACAGAGCTCCCATTTTCTGTCATCTGGGCAGGAACCAATCTCCTTTTGTATCAAATGGCCTTCTGGTACATTCTGGAATCTTGCTTCCTCATCTATTTAGTGAGGCTAATACCGCTTACTTGTAGTTTTGTTGTAAACTAAGATAAAGCCTGACATATTACTCATTTTAAAATTGTACACACAGACCCTGCTTTAACCAGATGCCTGCAAATACTCAGGTTTTCCTTCTACATATAGAAGACAACTTATCAGCTGCCAGGGCTGAAGCCAGCAGATATGGCTAAATGACAGAACAAAGGATTATGCCAATAAACTATGCAAAGCTTCCTTGCCCAGAATATAAATCAAACAGAGTAAAAAGCGAGTATATTGGCTCCAGGAAAAGGAGCAAGGACAGCCAGTTTTCAGGCGACCTCGAATTCTCTCCGTTTAGGATTCACCAACCCTAAGGTCCACTGGGTCCTTCAATCTGAGGGTCCATCCAGGGCCTTCCCTCCTGGGGTTGGAGATGGCTAGCTGCCTGATGGAGAGACCCCAGGCTGCTCAGCAGCAACGCCTGGCACAGCCGAGACAGCCTCGTAGTCTGCGATGCGGCGCTGTACCAGGGCAGGCATGAGCTGCACGTAAGCGGCCATGAGGCGGTGGTTGGAATGGATCAGCTTCCCAGCACAGCTGTGCAGACAGGCCTCCTAGAAGGAAGATAGGGTTTAAGCGGAGGACAAAGGTGTCCTGTCGGGCCCGCCTCCTTCCTTCCCCATGCACAGCCTAGGGGTGAGGGTCTGGGAAGGCCAGGACCAGAGGTAGGGGAAGTGGGGTGAGGAGGGAAGCAGTCTACCGCTAAACTCTGTTTGCAGCGTAACCTCCTTACACAGTTCCCCACCTCCTCAGCGTCCAGAGCTCGGTGGTGCAAGCTGGGCACACAACGCTGGAAGCAGAGTTCTGTCATCCGATTGTAGACCAACAGGAAGTCACGCAGCTGGGAGAAAACCGGGACCACGAACTCAGCGATATGTGCCCCACACTTCTACTCAAGGTCGCGCCGCCCAAAGTTTCCCAGGCCCGCGCACCATAACCCGAAGTTTCCAGCCCTCAGATCCCTGGCTCTATGGGGTTTCCGCGATGTGTGCAGGAATGCGAGCTGAACGTCTGGCCCCGAAACGACTTAGTTCTCACTCACGTTTCTCAGTTGCTGTTGCTGCTGCTGCTGCTCCATCACGCCACCGGCGCATGCTCTACGCCACTTCCTTTTCAGCTTCTCGGTGCCGCCCCGGAAGTAACCTCTCGCTGCTCTCGAGAACCAAGCTAGAGTATCGCCCTGCCCCGGCTTCGACGTCACTTCCGCCCTTATAATCTGCGACGTGGCCGGCTTCTTCTGCCCGGAGAGGACGTCACTTCCGCCGAGTCCCTGACCTGCTGCTAGGATCGCGACGGGAACTGGAGCCCGAGGTCCCCGCGCGGCCCGGGCCTGGCGCCCTGAGGGGAAGAGCGGCCCGGCCCGAGGTGAGAGGGACATGCTTGGGCGACGGGAAGTTGAACGCACAAACCTGTCCAGAGGGCAAGATGCCCCGAGCCCTGGGGAAGAATGAGGACACACCTGATGTCCAGGTGTATGGGGGTGGGGGCGGGGACTCACATACCTGGGAGACTGACTGTGGAAGGGATCACCGATATCCTGGTAAAGACAGGCTTTTGCCAGAGACTGGGAACATACACCAACTGATCTAACTAAGGCCTGGTGGGGAGGGCCCAAGGAAGAGGAGTTGTATGAGACGGAGGAGGGGAGACCCCCTGAAGGAAGGGGGAAGAAACACTAAAGGAGTGAGAAAGGCCAAGCAATGGAGAACAAACCTGAATGGGGGGTGAAGACCTGAGCCCTGGAAAGGGTCCATCTCCTGCTCAGCATAAACACGCCTGCATGGAGATAAGTTCTAAGAGAGCTACTTTCCCTCTTCACTGTTGTATTTTCATTGTCACAAATAGTACCTGACACAGAGTAGGCACTCACTAAATGTCTGCTGAATGACTGAATGAGTGTAGAATAATCACCAGAGGCCTGGTGAGGTTGGGGGCTTGTGAGAAGACACCGTGCTTTGGTGTGCCTGTGTACAAATGTGCATTTTGGAGGGGAGAAATACATATACCTGAAGAAAGGAATGATGACCAAACGCTGGGACACTCAAACCCTGGGACAGCCTTTAAAGAAATGACAGAGGAGGCTTCCTTCTTCTAGAGTGCTGGCCAGTGCCCAGAACTTCTGTGTTGGGCTTTGCAGGGTGCTGGGGTGGAGAGTTTTACTCCAATACCTTTCCTAGCCATGACGGACGGGATCCTAGGGAAGGCAGCCACAATGGAGATCCCTATCCACGGGAACGGTGAAGCCAGGCAGCTTCCTGAAGATGATGGGCTGGAGCAGGTGCTTCTGTTTGATTCTTCTAATTGTTTCAATTTAGGAATCCAATTTATAAATCCTGGGTTCTCACCCTCCATTCCAGTAGCCTTCCCCTGAACTTATCTGACTCCCTTAATTTTACATATCATTTTGATTCTGTGCAGACTTCCCTTGTGTAGTGTCTTTATGATGCTTGAATCCAAACTTGTTCCCACCTCCAAAATGCTTCTGCAGTCCCTATGTTCCTGAAGCAACCCCTCTTCTCTGGCCTATAGGACCTCCAGCAAGTGATGGTGTCAGGACCCAACCTCAATGAAACCAGCATTGTGTCTGGTGGCTATGGGGGCTCTGGTGATGGACTCATCCCCACAGGTATGAACAGAAACAGGAAGCTTGGGTGGAGGAGGGGACAGGAATGGTTTGGGGAAGCATAGGATATGTCTAGGAAAGCTTGAATAATGTCTGGAGATCTTAGGAACTTCTGCTTGTAGGAATCCCATGGACTCTCCTCAGCCCAAAAGCAACTCCCAGCATTGTCCATCCATTTCCCTTTTGCCACTTGGCCCCTGAAATGGCTCATTCGTCCTTTCCCTGCCACCACCTGAGTCAAGTTAAGACCTACTTCACAGGAATGCCCCCGCTCTACAGCTTGAGGCTGAGTTGGAACTTTGTGAGGCTTTTCAGAATTTTTAGATTCTAAAGTTTAGAGGAACAAACAGCCCTGAATCTCACACTAAGATTCCACATGGGAATGCAACCAGGTTTCTTGTTATCATGACCCACCATCCTTGACTCCTGCTGCCCCCAAACTCAGTGTATTTTCTTCTGTTTCCTCTGCCCCTATACACCAACAACTCCCTGCAAACCCCTCCTCTGGCCTCCAAGGAGGCCATATGTATATCAGGATTTGGTTATCACTGTGCAAGGTGCGAGTTCCTCCTAGTAAACAGGAGAATCCAGTTGTCTCTAGCATCTCCTTCAGGGAAGTCAATTTCATGTGCTGGGAGAGAAGCATGGGTGGGGCCACAGAGGTGTCTGGTGTATCTGAGAGAGGCTGGTGTCAGAGAACTTGATCCTTTAGGGTCTGGCCGCCATCCATCTCACAGCACCACTCCTGCTGGCCCTGGAGATGAGGTGGCTCGGGGCATTGCTGGAGAAAAGTTTGACATCGTCAAGAAATGGGGCATCAACACCTATAAGGTAGGATTTGAGCACCTCTCACTTCCCCAAAACTCGTTATGGGTACCTTTTTCCCCTTTCCTCATGATCGTAATATCCCATCTGTGGCTGAGAGTAGGAGCCTGGGTGGCGTTGGGGTAGATACCTGTTGTGTCGGGAGGCTATTAGGGTCTCTGATCTATTGCCCCGTTTCCCAATCAGTGCACAAAGCAACTGTTATCAGAACGATTTGGTCGAGGCTCACGGACTGTGGACCTGGAGCTAGAGCTGCAGATTGAGTTGCTGCGTGAGACGAAGCGCAAGTATGAGAGTGTCCTGCAGCTGGGCCGGGCACTGACAGCCCACCTCTACAGCCTGCTGCAGACCCAGCATGCACTAGGTGATGCCTTTGCTGACCTCAGCCAGAAGTCCCCAGAGCTTCAGGTGCCTCACCCAGACCAAAGAGGGTGGGGGAACTGGGCATGGGCCCTCCCAGGCAGTCATTCGTCATCCTCCCTCCCTCCTGCAGCCCACAGGGAGAACCCCTTCAGGGTGGGCCCAGCCCTACCCCCAGCAGCACTCACCTGTGGAGGCAGCCTAAGGGTTTGTACAGAGGTCCAGAAGTTGGAGGGGGTGGGGGAGGGGGCACACGAGGTGCTTCACAAATAACCCCTCTCTGCATTGGGGAGAATGCCTTCAGTGCTCAGCCTAATCAGAGCCCCTGCCCTGCTTGCCACACTAGCTCTTAGACTGTTCCAGTCTTGTGAACTTATCCAAGAATGCCCACCACCCACATTCCTACCCCAGGTATCCCCAGGGTGACCCCACTGACTTTTTAGCTAACAGAGCTTTGCTGGAGGCAGTCCTTGGTTCTTCCAGTTTTGCTGGCTGTTTCCTCCCCAGGGAGGAGGGGAATGAAGGGCTTTACAGCTCCAGTCAGGTAGGTAGTAGTATTCAAGGTCTGTTCCTCCCTTCTGCCCTCAGGAGGAGTTTGGCTACAATGCAGAAACACAGAAACTGCTATGCAAGAATGGGGAAACACTGCTAGGAGCTGTGAACTTCTTTGTCTCTAGCATCAACACACTGGTCACCAAGACCATGGAAGACACGCTCATGACTGTGAAACAGTATGAGGCTGCCAGGTGTGGGCACTGGCAGGGCTTAGGGTTTGGGGAGTTGGCTGGCATGGGTTGAAATTTGGGCATTAGGGACATAAGAATTCAGGAAGGAAAGGAGAGTATGTCTTGAGGATAAAGGGGTGGAGACCAGCCTTTATCACCCCCTTCCCAGGCTGGAATATGATGCCTACCGAACAGACTTAGAGGAGCTGAGCCTAGGCCCCCGGGATGCAGGGACACGTGGTCGACTCGAGAGTGCCCAGGCCACTTTCCAGGCCCATCGGGACAAGTATGAGAAGCTGCGGGGAGATGTGGCCATCAAGCTCAAGTTCCTGGAAGAAAACAAGGTGCCTACCCCACCCCCTTGACCCTAGCCCACCTTTTCATCTGTGACACTAACCTTCCCCTCAGACCCTCCCCATTATTGAATGACAAAATGCAGCCTAGCTAGGGAGTAGAATGTTACCCCCTCAACCCCTGGGCCTTTCCAGATCACCCTCCCTCCAATTCCTGGCCCTTTCCCATTGGAGGATTTGGCTGCTGGTCCCAGGAACATAACTGGGAAAAATCTCCCCCTGAGCTGGGATACCAAAACCTTAGGCCCAACAAATCCAGTGAGGTCTCTTCCATCAGACTGACCCTTCTCTGACTCCCTGGGTAGAGTTCAGCCCCTAGCCCAAAAGCACCATCAGAGCAGAGTCCTTGTGCCCCTGGTCTGTGCCTGGGCTCAGGCTCATAGACCCTCAAAAAGGGCGCCTGAGTCCAGCCTTAGCTGACCCTGCTGGACCTCCAGATCAAGGTGATGCACAAGCAGCTGCTGCTCTTCCACAATGCCGTGTCCGCCTACTTTGCTGGGAACCAGAAACAGCTGGAGCAGACCCTGCAGCAGTTCAACATCAAGCTTCGGCCTCCAGGAGCTGAGAAACCCTCCTGGCTAGAGGAGCAGTGAGCTGCTCCCAGCCCACCTTGGCTATCAAGAAGGACATTGGGAAGGGCAGCCCCAGGGTGTAGGAGATTGGACATGGGACATCCCTTGTCACTTGCCCTCTGGCTTGGGCTCCTTTTTCTGGCTGGGGCCTGACACCAGTTTTGCCCACATTGCTATGGTGGGAAGAGGGCCTGGAGGCCCAGAAGCTGTTGCCCTGTCTATCTTCCTGGCCACAGGGCTTCATTCCCAGATCTTTTCCTTCCACTCCACAGCCAACGGCTATGACAAAACCACTCCCTGGCCAATGGCATCACTCTTCAGGCTGGGGTGTGCCCCCTGACCAATGGCAGAGCCTCAAAATGCCCTGTCAGCCAATGGCAGCTCTTCTCAGACTCCCCTGGGCCAATGATGTTGCGTCTAATACCCTTTGTCTCTCCTCTATGCGTGGCCATTGCAGAGAAGGGGACTGGGACCAAAGGGGTGGGGATAATGGGGAGCCCCATTGCTGGCCTTGCATCTGAATAGGCCTACCCTCACCCACCCACCCAGTTTAATTGTGCTTAGAGCCCAAGAAGATTGGGATCTAGCACTAGGAATAAACCTTTCATAAAAGCAGGCCCAGCGAGGTCAATTTGTGGGGGACTCTAGGAGGGTGGCCTGGGTGGAAACATGCTCAGTCTAATCATACACCAGAACCCTATCAAGAGCTGGGGCCAGGCAGCTGAAGTCACAGGTTTCAGAGATGGTTTGAAGGCCCAGTCGTCTCTCCCAGCCCCAGTTGGAGCCAAAGTTTTATTTGTCCTTTAGCCAGCACCAAGATAGCTATGGATCTTAAGAGCACCAGATCCAGAGGGGGTTGGGTTTGCTGACCATAATGCATTGATTCATACAGCAAATATTTACCGGGTGCTTTCATTTGCCAGGCACTGCGTTAGACCCTGGGGAGACATCAGTGAATAAAACACGGTCCCTGCCCAAGTGCCTAGGGCCTATTGGAGGAAAGAGACAAGTAACCAGGCAACTACAAAACAGTGATAAGCATTAGGATACAGAAGTACAGGGTGCTATGGGAGCACCAAGGAGGAGCATCTGGCATAGACTGGGGTGGAAATGAGGATGTCAGTTTGAAAGCTGAGACCAGGCCGGGCGCAGTGGCTCACGCCTGTAATCCCAACACTTTGGGAGGCCGAGACGGGTGGATCATGAGGTCAGGAGATCGAGACCATCCTGGCTAATCTCTACTAAAAATACAAAAATTAGCTGGGCATGGTGGTGGGCGCCTGTAGTTCCAGCTACTTGGGAAGCTGAGGCAGGAGAATGGTGTGAACCTGGGAGGTGGAACTTGCAGTGAGCTGAGATTGTGCCACTGCACTCTAGCCTGGGCAACAGAGCAGGACTCTGTCTCAAA